GGGGGGGGGCGTTAGGGACGCCTTCGTGGCAGCGTGGCATCCCGAGGGGGGAAAGGTCAACCCCACAACGCGAGCCCCGACCCCCAGACGCACACCGGGGAAAATGCTGTGCTTGTCTCTACCTCGGTGCCCTGGATGTGGGGACCACAGTTCAAGATGGTGGGGTGTATGGGAGAGCGAACCCTGGTGCTAGCCCCTGGCTGCTCTTACTCTGGAGGCCCCAGCTTTTGAGTTCTGAATGCCCACACGTAGTTCTTGCTTTCTTCAAAAAAGGAAGAGAAATCATAATGAGCTCCCTTTGGGTTGTCAAGTGAGAGAGGGAAAATGATAGTTGACCTTCAGAGAGGACCCTGGCCACGTTCCTACTGCACGCGTGGATAAGTTAGCCTTAGGTCTCTGAGATTAGTAAAGACTGTCGAAATGGAACGACTGTGGACTAATTTGGGAGAAAACCTGGGGTCGCAGGATTTGTGTAAAGCCCACCTCTATAGAGATGTATTTTAAGAAAGAACTGGCGGAATTTCTGGTGTAGTATTCCAAAAGAGGCAGATTTTGAGGAACAAACGTTACTTTGCCAAAACAGAATGTGCGTTATTGTTATCCTAAGTTTTTATTTTTGTGCTGTTAAAGGGTGTCTAGGCCTGGGGCTGCACTCTTCAGTGGAACTTTCTGCCAGGATGGACGTGGCCTATGATCTGTGCAGTCCCTCTGGTCACTACTAGGCACAAGTCACCCCGGGGTGCTTGGAATGTGTCATGTGCCACTGAGGAACATTAATTTCAATTCATTAATAAATGAATGACAATTTAAGTAGCTGTATATGGTTAGTGGCCAGTGCATAGGATAGCAAGGGTTTAGAATTTTGGGTGCTCTTCTAATTTTTTCTTTGAGTTTTAAATCAGGAAAGACAATTCTTGGACCATTTGTTGCCTAAAGGAATCATAATCATATTCAAATCATGCCTTTCATTCAAATGCTGTAGTTCAAAGACTTGGTTTGTTATTATTTACTTACAGCTTGACAAATTAAAGCAAATCATTCTTCTGACTCCTAGGTTGTACAGCACATGCCAGATTTGGTCGCAAAGCCATGAGAATGCTAACTAGAGTTTTCTTTAATCATTAGTCTTCTGTATTATGATCATGAGTTTCCACTGTCTTTTATCTCTTTGGTTCGTTTTTAGTAATAGATTTTCAATTTTTTTTCCTGCAAGTTTTTTTTTTTAAATTTGAAAGTTGTTGCTTTCCTTTTTCCCCCTTTTAACCTTAATAAAGTAATTTGATAAATTACAGTAGTAGCCTTTGGGCTTTGGGATATTTTAGAAGTAGTTTCCTTGTTATCCATGTTCAGAACTTGTGTAGACATAAGTGAAATTCAGTGATATATGTTTCACAAGATTTCTTTTAAGTATGTGCATTTTTCTTTTTCTAGCAGGTGTTTATAAAGTCAAGCTTGAAAATTATGGTGGTTTTTCTTTTTTTTTTTTTGGTGTTGGGGATTGAATCCAGGGCTCCTCCTCTTAACATGTTAAGCAAGTGCTCTGCCACTTAAGTTACACACAAAGCTTAAAAACTGTATTTTTAGGTAATACCCTTGACTGTGGCCTGATACCTATAAAGTGGTAACCTTGGTTACAAAACTGAAGGTAATTGTTAGATCTGGAGCAATAATGTAAAACTCATGGGTTAGGCCATAGGCAGAGAGTAGTCCCAAACATAAATCAGAATGGGTTGATCTTGGCAGAGTGATTCTCTGTTTTAGTTATTCTGGCACAGTCATGGTTTAACGCCTAATTGTTCCAGCATAAATGTTACTGTTGCCCTTATCACTGTCTAGAATAGCCTAGTTGGGACCAAATAATCAAATGGCCACCATAGTTTTAGACTTGTTACAATGCATCAAATATATTTTTGCAGTGATTAACCATATTGCTATATCAGAAATATACTTACTCTCAAACAGTGACAGTTACTTGGTTTTGTGCTTAAATAATAGATGATATATCTGGAATAAGGCCAACAGGTAACTTAATTCATTTAAGCCACTGGTTAACTTAAAAAATTCGTGTTGGAAAGCAATCTTGGGTAGCTTGAACTTTGGTTCTCTTTTTTTGGTGGGAGGGATTGTCTTTTTTCTGTAGTGGGCTAAAAAGAAAGTTAGGCCCTATCAGTTAAACCAGAATATTGGTGTATATGTGTTCAAATACTGCCTGGTGAAATTGAATAGTGAAATCACTGAAATCTTTTTATGTATTAAAATGATAACCATTTTGCATATAGTTTACTTAATGAGAACTCAGTCAAATGCCAATGCATTAATTGAAGTTATATGTAATTGAATCAGGCACTCTTGGTTTAAAGCCTCACTCTGATCCTTAGTAATAACAATCATGTCTTGGCTCAAAAGGGTAAAATGAGGTAACCCAAGTGATGTATTTAATATAGCTTTGTAAATGTCAACCTTAAGTAGACTGGGCAGGTCTTGAAGAGCTGTTAATGCTCTAAGATGCATGATGGGTTGGTGGAAAGAGCACCTGAAAACCAATTGCAACTAGCTTTTGCCCTTTTCTGTTCTGTGATTTCAGGTTTTTTTTTTTGTCTTTGTTTTTGTTGGTCATGGGGTTTGAACTCTGGGCCTGGGTGCTGTCCCTCAGCTCTTCAGCTCAATGCTAGTGCTCTATCACTTGAGCCACCATGCCACTTCTGGTTTTCTGAGTGGTTTATTGGCAATTAGAGTCTCATGGACTTCTGCCTGGGCTGGCTTTGAACTGTGATCTTCAGATCTCAGTCTCCTGAGTAGCTAGGATTACAGGCGTGAGTTACCAGCGCCTGGCTAAGTTAAGTTTTTTGAGACTTGGTTTCCTCATTGTAAAATGAAATCAGTTTCTCCATCCCAGCTTCTCACCAGATTGTCAGTGAGTATCAGCTGAGAATAGAATTTGTGAATTGTCTTACTTTATAAACACTTTTTCATTTACTTGGTTTTATTTCATTTGGTCTACCTCCAGTAAAGGAGTGACCTTAAATCGGAAAAAATTACATCTTTTGTATATTAAATTGCTTATACGAGAGCACTGTCATCAATAAATATTCTTTTTTTCAAATAGTCCTCACGGTCCTATTAATGGTGCCTCACTGATCTGGAAACACTAAATCCTCTGCACAAAGCAACTCATACTTACTACTGCTCAGGGAGAACCAATGTTTTCTTAGACACTAGCTCTGTTTTATCCACTGTGCTAAAACCTATAGCATCTCATTTATCCAAACGTCATTCCTAACAAGCAGGTGATACCAGCTCTGTGAGATGTTTGCCCACATAAATTATACAAATATAAATTATCTTAAAAAACCTTGACATTGTGCTTTTGTTATTTAAAATGCTGTAATGGTTTTATTACTGAATCCTGTATATTTTAATTCTTCATGTCGGCTCAGTCTAATCAGAACTTCCTTTCTTGAAAATGGACACCACACTTAATGAGAATCCTGAAATGAACTTACTTCTTATTTTTCCCATGAAATGAACATTTTGTATGTGTGAGGCCCTGTTCTAAGTGCTTTATGCAATTATTCTATGTAAGGTAGAAAAGAAGAATTTTGAGTTGTCATTTTAGAGATGAGGGGTCTGAGGCAAAAGAGGTGACATGACTTGCCCAAGGTCACATGGTAAATGTTTGAGCCTCTATATGAAGTCCAGAACTGGACTTTTTACTGCTACACTGTTGGCTTGACATAGACAACAAAGTTCACCATGACAAACACATTGTGGAGGTCTTATACGTTAATTAAGATAAACTTTTATTTGTGTGTTCCTTGTTGTGTGGTAGAAAGAACTCGACCAGGAATCAGGGGGACCTCAGTTTTGGTTTCAGCTTGTATCACTAAATAGTGCTGTGTCCTTGGGCAGTTCAAGAAACCCCTCTGGACTGCAGTTTCCCCACCTGAAAAACGAGGGATTTGGATGGAATTAGTGATTTTCAAACTCTGGTTCGAAGCCTGCTCATGTCTTTGGTCCCCCTCCCTCCAGTTTGCATAGTTCTCTTTTTGTTTGCGATACTCTTTTAAATGAAGAGTTTCTGAACATAACATTTAAAGTTACCAGTATTGAGAACTCAGTGACAGTGTCAGCCCACTTACTGATATGTGAACAACTCTCTAGACATTTTACATTATTGTAGTGTATTAGAAAAGAGGCCATCTTTTACAGACAAAAAACTAGACACTAAAATGGAAGAGGATTAGTGATTTTGGCTGAAATACATACTTATCTAAATGGACTGAATATGTATCTCTATTTATATAAATGGACCAGAATATAGATTATCAGTTACCTGGGAGTGACGGTCTGTTTTATTTTTAAAATTAGATTTGTACCAGCAAGTATTTTTACTCTTGATATTCTTATAATTCGAGAGGAAAAAACTCACCTTATAGGGCGATTGTGAAAAAATGTGAGCTAATATTAGCGTTGAAAAAATTACAAACTCCAAATCTACACTAAATCTCCTACTGGCCACATAAACTATGTTTTTAACTACATCAGATATTTTGTTGAATTGTTTATAGTTAATAATCTAATTCCCTTAAGATTTACAATTTCTAAAATATGAATCAATGATGGAAGAGACTGTTAATGTTTAAGGAACCTGTTCATTTTTAAATATCAAATGCACTTCCCCTTTACTGTTAGGAAGATAATTGATTTTCAGGGTTTGTCATTGAGTTTATGAACATGTTTGGAATTGAAAAAGTGAGCTCGTCTGTGTTGTTAGGGTTGGATGTTGTGTGTTCTTCTTAGTAGTTGACAGCACCATTTATCCCATAAGTTTCTAGGGCCTTAAGCCTCAGAGTCGTCCTTGGTTGCGCTTCTCTCCTCCCCATGTCTAACCCACCTGCAGGTTTGCTGTGCCTTCAGAAGAGATTTGTGTCATCATCTCGGCTTGTCACACTCGTGTAACAAGGGTATACAGTGACTCCTAAGTGTTTTTGATTGTTCCCTTGCTTCCTTACAGTATATTTTTGCCTATTTGAAATTACAACTTTAAAACACACCACATTTCAAGTAATGTGCATGGCCCAAATTTCCTTATATGTATGTAAAATTTAGCTCTCTTCAAGGCTTGTCAAGGAGTGGCCTCTTCATAATGCTCAGGTCTTATTTTCTACTGCTTACCCTACTTGCTCATCTCAAGTCCACACTGGCCTTGGGAATCTCGGTACTCTGCTGTTTCTTGGCCTGGAATTTCTTGAACACTGCTTTCTAGGCTTTGGTTAAATTTTAAATATCACCTCAAGTCCACTTGCAATATGGAATATATTAATATATTGGAATTGCCACTGTATTATCCTTAATACTAGATAGAGAAATCTTATAGATACTTTGTACACTTTTTTTAAGTTCTTGCATTCTTAGTGATTGACCAGTATTATTCACATTAGTGAAAATTTGTATTATGATGTAACCTGAAAGTTAAGCAATGTAGTGTTTGGCTTAACCATAATTTCTTCTTGTCTTTGAGGTGTTTATGAAAATTTTCTAATTATAAAAGTTTTAAATTATATTACAGATATCCAGGATGATTAGAATTGAGACTGCATGCTTAGAATAAGAACATAAACACAGGTCTGAATTAGGGTTTCTCAACAGTGATACATTAGAAGATAAATTCTATTATCTTTTAATGTACTGGGTTAACTGATCAATCCAGATTTTGAAGTTAGTACCCAATTCTTAGTTCTCAATTCTTAGTTTTCTAAGAGGTTTCTTGTGGTATTTCTTCTTTGGTTTTTTAGTTGCCAAAACTGTGTCTATATGGAAATCCAGTAAGAGGTTCATTGCATTTTGCCTGATTTACTTTTTGTGATGTGCACCTTTACTTCACTTGGGATCTTTAATTTGGTAGCAGTATTTTCTGGGGGGAAGGAGTATTCATTAAATTGCTGTATCTTAAGAGATAAATGTTAACTTTTCTTCTCTGGAATGAGATTTTACAGATGTGACCTAGTATTGGCTATTGGTTTAATGATCAGGTCTATATTATATTAATGAGAAGTGAACTTATTCCTTGGGTTCACATTTGAACTGTGACATGTTGAAATGATCTAGGTCCCAATCTGCACATCTGAATTCATTTTGTAAAATATGGCAAACAGCTGCATTTCAATTGAAAGCTGAAACAACTGCAGGACATGAACCCATTGAGAAGATTACAGTAGGCTTTCAGTTCCATGTTAACTGTATTTATTAGACAAAATTGACTTGAGTGCTTCTGCTTTTAACAGAACCCTCCCCTTTATTTTAAATGTCTGGAAGAGAGGAAATAAAGCATTGGAATTATAGGACTTTGATGTGTAAAGAAGTTAATGTCTAAAGAAGTAAATTATCTAAATCATCAAACAAAATGTGGGAAGGGGAAATAATTATTGTAAAAAGTCTAATGAGCTATCAGCTCATCATGTCAAGAAAAATATTATTCACCTGTTTGATTTGAAAATTAAATTACTTGACTGTGAAAGGATGACTGTGCTATAATAATGTAGGATTGGGACTCTTCTTACCAGTAAATACTGTTGATGTAAAACATTTGCAGTGGAGAGGCAGGGAGACAACAAAATAAAGATGTCTATCCTTCATTTCTGTCCGTCCGTCCGTCCGTCCCTCCCTCCCTCCCTCCTTCCCTCCCTCCCTCCCTCCCTTCCTTCCTTCCTTCCCTCCCTCCTTCCTTCCTCCCTTTTTCCTTTCCTCCCTCCACCTCCTCTCACTCCTCCTCCCCTTCCTCCCTTTTCTCCCTTTCCTCCCCTTCGTGTGTGTGTGTGTGTGTGTGTGTGTGTGTGTGTGTGTGTGTTGGTACTAGGGTTTGAATTCAGGGCTTGGACAGTTTCCCTTGACTTTTTTACTCACTCAAGGCTTGTGCTCTACCACTTGAGCCACAGCTCCACATCCTGATTGATTGGCTTGCTGATTAATTGGAGATGAGAATCTCATGGACTTTCTTGCCTGGGGTTAGTGTTAAACTGATCCTTAGATCTCAGCATCCTGAGAAGCTAGGATTACAGGAACAACCAGTGCCTGGCTAAGCTTTTTTTTTTTCCCTTCTGTCTTGTGCTGCTGTACAAGAATTTGATCTAGGAAAATTCTGCTTCAAAGAGTTAAAAATGGGTGAGTAGATTTGAAAATGAAAAAGGGGTGGGTTGCTCCATCAATACCTCAGTTTCTTGGCCATATAATAATCCCATAGAATGGCATATGCATTAGATCTGACATGGGTCAGTTCAAATCACAATTTGTGGAGGCTGTTATTAATACTTAGTTTAACATTAATATTGAGTTTAACATTTCACCAAGTTATCTGTCAGCCTTGTGTTGGACAGCAAGGAATGTTTTCTGGGCTCTTTGAAAGTTCAGTGTCTTTGTCTCTATCTCTGTCTCCTTTTTTTTCTCTTTCCCTCTGTTCTTCTTTCTTGCTCCCTCCCTAAAAACTTTGTTCCATTTCTGCTTGATTGTAAAAATCTTAGATTTCCTGTCTGTTTCCTTCCATCTTGGACTGGTGATATAATTTTTTTGGGGGGCGGGGGAACAGTCCTTCTGCTTGAACTCCAACCTGAGCTTCTTTTGCTTAAGGCTAGCACTCTACCACTTGAGCCACAGCCCAACTTTTGTTTTTTTGTGTTTATGTGGTACTGAGGAATTGAATCCAGGGCTTCATGCATGCTAGGCAAGCACTCTACCACCAAGCCACATTCCCAGCCCTGTTGTAATTTTTTAACCCAAGTTTCAAAAGGTAATATTTACTTTCCTATATAATTATTAGGAAGAAATAATTATTTCAAAAGGCTTTGTGAAAATCTAGAACAAATTCAAGCTTTCAAAAGATGATGGTCTTTCTTAGTTTCTTAATTTTAGAATTTTGGGTCTCAAGCTCAGTTGGAGTGGAATGCTTCTTTCTCTTTCTGTGCTCTTGCATTCTGTGCCTAGTGGTCATGGGCTGGCTCTTAGGGCCCACATGGCCCACTCTGGGTCAGAAGGATATTGACGTATTCTAGACCTCATCTAGGTAGTGTGCTGCTTGTCTCACTTGGTCCAGTTGCATTTTAAAACCTTCAATATATACAACTTTATATCTATCTATCTATCTGTCTGTCTGTCTGTCTGTCTGTCTGTCTGTCTGTGTATCTATCTATCTATCTGTCTGTCTGTCTGTCTGTCTGTCTGTCTGTCTGTCTGTCTGTCTGTCTGTCTGTCTATCTATCTTGTCTCACTTGGTCCAGTTGCATTTTAAAACCTTCAATATATACAATTTTATATCTACCTGTCTGTCTGTCTGTCTGTCTATCTATCTATCTATCTATCTATCTATCTATCTATCTATCTATCTAATCTAGCTCCGTCCTTCCCTCCCTCCCTCCTTCTTTCCCTCCCTATCTATCTGTTTCAGGCAGTGGACTCAGGCAGAAGCCTTTTCCTCCAGCCTACTTGCATAGGGCCCAGTCCTTGAAGAATAACCCTCCTTTGTTTATTTTGTAATGGAAGTATTTAAAGTTAGTGGAATTGTATTGAGTTTTTAAAATTAAAATATTTAAGTTGTTTTTTAACTTGTGACTATGAAATAAGGATAATATAACTTGACATGAAAGCTTTTAGTGGATCAAGAAAGGAGACAAAATCTTTAAACAGCATTATTTCATGCTTATTGTATACTTAGGAGTTATTATTCTTTGCATTTACTTAATGAATTAGCAATGTAATGTGTTAATTCATTTAATTCTTAGAACACCCCCTAAGAGGTGAAATATTATGGAAACACTGACAAGTTGCTCAAAGTTTTAGCAAAGCAGCAGAGCTGGGAATTAAACCTAGGTAGTCTTAATATGAAGCCAGCTGTTGAGACTAGGTTTTATGACCGACCACTGTGACTTCGTGACTTCCTATTTAGCCTCCTCTGCTTCCATACGAGTCAGGCAAAGTGTTTTCCTTCATTACTGTGAGTGTGGTGAGAAATGAGAGGGTCTCAGTACAGCTGTCCCCTGTAACATATCCTTTGTGTAAGCTGTCAGGAGCTGTACAAGGCAAGCTGTTCTGTGACTGGAAAAGCCCAAAGAAATGATCCTATCCTTGAGATTTGTGGACTGGGAAAGCATTTTATGTGGGCAATGTGGTTAGGTTTTCAACAAACTTCTACCTATGAGAAGGAGCCTACCAACCAGTGATCACCCAATCTCCTGTATAAACCACCTCCTCCTAAGCCAGTTTTCCCAGCAAGATGACCCTTTGGGCTCTTCACATTAGTAAGTTGCCCTAATGAAGTTCTTCTCTACCATCATCTACCTTCTGTAGTGTTATGAGCAGAGCAGGTGTTTCGTGAGAGCAACTCCAGAGCCTGCTTTCTCAGTTAAACTGTAGTAAGTCTCTCTGACCTGCTTTTTCCTGTTCTGAATTTGCTATGTTCTTTAGAATTCAAGAGAGTTTTTATTTTAAGGAAGGTTACAGCATAGCAAAGTTTACATGAACATACGAAGTGTCATGGTAGTAGAGGCTTTATCTGCCTAGAGACTGTGATGTTATTTTGACCTATTTATATTCATTCTTGTTCATTAATGCCACATGCATTAAATAAAATGACATGCATTCTGATTGACATCTATTTTTCTCATTCTGTATTATCTTAATTTTAGGAGGAAAATAGCATTTTAAGTAAAATATTTGCTCATATCATCATAAAATACCATAGTCCATAATTCTGATTTACTGATTGACTTTATTTGTAGTATTTGTATTTTAAGCTGTGATTCTAGTGGTCTGGATGAAACTCTGTGTGTGTGTGTGTATTTAGGGGCTACTGGGAGCTCCCTAAAGAATTGCTAATGAATCTAAGAGCTCCTTGCAACACATTGAAAACCATTGAGTTCTGTCAAAAGCCTTTAATGAGTATTTTTATTGCATTACTTATTGCAGAATAGGTATTGACTGACATTCAACTAAGCAGCCTTTCTCTACTGTACCGTTTCATTTGAATAAAGAACGTTAAGTGAAAGAAAACTGTTATGCAAAGCAGAATCATTAGGAACTTAAATTTTTCTATACCTTTTTTGGAAGTGGTTAAAAAATGCTTCCATCTTATGCACTAATTTATAAATACATTGTATAAGGTTTCTGTTTCTTTTTTTATGTAGATGAATAACACTGCTGCTAGCCCGATGGCTGCTGCTACTTCAAGTAGTGGGAGAAGTGCTGGGAGGCCCGTAAGCTTTGCCACAGAGCTTCAGAGTATGATGTAAGTACATCTCTACACACGCACACCAACTATTGCTGTTTTAAGTTTGTTCATATTGAAGAGGGCAATATTAATAAAGTTCATAGAATTCAGCTTAGAAGTAATTTGTATTTAATCAAGTCAAAGTTACCATTTTTAAAAAGCCCTGAGCAAAGGGGCCAGGTAGAAATGCCACAGTGGCATTGTGAAGAATCTTTTATGGTATATTATGTTAGAAAATATTGCCGGGAACTGGTGGTTCACACCTGTAATCCTACTGACTCAGGAGGTTGAGATCTGAGGATCACTGTGTGAGGTTCAAAGCCAGCCCAGGCAGGAAAGTCTGTGAGACTCAGAATAATAAATAAATAATAATAAAAAATAAATAATAAACTACTCAGAAACAGCTGAAGTGGCTCTGTGACTCAAGCAGTAGAGTGCTAGCCTTGAGCACAGAGAGGCCCAGGGACAGAGCCCAGGTCCTGAATTCAAGTCCCTTAACCAGAAAAAAAAATTAAGTATGTGTTTCAAGATTTATAAGGTAAGAGATATTTCATTTTCTATAGAGCTGGTTCATTGGTTTATTTACTTTGGGGTTTTGTTTTTTTTTTTGCTTATGTGGTGCTGAGGAATCGAACCCAGGGCCTCATGCATGCAAGGCAAGCACTCTACCACTGAGCCACCTTCCTAGCCCTGATTTATTTACTTTGTAAATATACATTTATATACTTTGTAAATTATAGAGCATAGTAGAACGAATAACTATTGCCTTTTACCAGTCTTACTTAACCTTTCTCCCTACTCTCCACTTTGTTTTGAGATGTAGCATTTTAAAGCAAATCTCAGATATTTAAAAATTCATAGTATTCATTAAAACCATATAACGTTAATAGCTAAGAAACATGATCTGTAGCAGGGCCAGTGAACTACAGCCATGTAGTCTGGTTTTGTAAGTAAATTCTCATTTATCTAATTAAGCATCACTCAGAGTTGGATATTTCAGCCTGAAAAGCTGAAAATATTTATTATTTGGTCATTTGTAGAAGTTTGGTCTCAGCTCTGCAAAACAGCTCTCTACAAGACGAAAGCTGAAGAGTAGTATTTTCTTTTGTCATTGAAACTTGCAGTTTCTGCTTAATATATCGGATAGACCATAGGCCACTTAAACTGAAAAAGAAAAATAAAAGCTAAATCCAGCACTTTGTTATTAGTTTTGCAAACATCTTCCCAACTTATGTACCTAAGCTGGGTTCAGAATGTAAAAATTATCTGGAATAAATGGACATTTTCCTTCTATTTTAGACCTCATAGAGAGGAGTTTGAAGTTACCCTTTTTTCCTCCCTTATGATTTTGCTTCACAGAAAGGGATATAGGGCCAATATTAGGGGAGTCCTTTATAATTCATCAGTATTTTCTGTTAGTATAAGATTCTTAAGGTTTTTTGACTATATAAAATCAGAATCAATCTACATCTTTATTTAAATGTTTATTTCATATGAGAAAACAGACTTTAAAGGTTATGTTTGTTTTATGTTGCAGGTATTTAATTCTGTTACTCTTACTGCTTCTGTTTCACAGTTCTAAACCTATCTGCATTGCTGTTTTTCAGTCTTCTACTGCTCCTGTCTTCCCATCCATTCACTAGTAATGACTTGGTTCTTTGCTTTTAGTTCTCTCCTTTTAGTTCTCTGCTATCTAATTGAGCACCTATCATTAGTGTCATTTACAGGTATTTCACTTAAAGGAATCCAGTTTATCAGTTACAACTAAAGCTGTCAAGATCTGCTGTTAGGTACAACCAGTCTCTTTTAATAAAGGTTATCATATTATATGGGAGTAATAAATACCAGTAGTGAAACCCATTATGACATACTTCCAGATTTTAAACAGTTACTAGTGAATTGAGATGAGAGTAGTTGTCCCTATACTAGCTTTCCTAGTATATACAACTGAGTATATTTGTTTTTATCACAGCTATTTGAACAAGAAGGGTTAGAAGGATACAGGGGTACATTTTTAAGTTATAGAACTTATGCAGTATGTAAATTAAAAAGTGAAATCTTTTTGGTCCACATTTCAGGTTATATGAAGAATTTTAATTAATGTACTTTAAGAAGCTTCATTGAGCTCTTTATTTCAGCTGTTTACATAGTTCTTGCCTTGTCAGGTTGTATTTGTTCAGACTTGTCAGTCTAATGATGATGTCAGTTTTAGCAACCTGGTGACACTCAGTAATTTTGTGACTAGATTAAAGAAAAACTTTTTTTTTGTTATTTATGTATTGTAGTAACACACACACACACGCACTCACGCATGCATGCATGCATGCATGCACGCACGCACACATACTGGGGCTTGAATTCAGAGTCTCCAGCTCTTCCTTGGCTTTATTGCTCATGGCTGGTGTTCTACCACTTGAGTCAATTCCTATGTTACAATAATTCCAAATAAAAATTTTATCTTTATGTAAATTCACAGGCTCAAAATATTTTTTAGTCAGTTTTCTTTATATTGTAAAATTTACTCTTTTAGTTGTATAAATTATTTATTTATAATTTATATATTTAATTTATTTTGATGTTCCTGGGGCTTCTACTCGGCCTGGATCCTGTCCCTGAACTCTTTTGCTTGAGGCTACCTCTCTACACTTCAGCCATAGCTCCACTTCTAGCTTTTTGATGGTTAACTGGATATAAGAGTCTCACAGGCTTTCCTGCCTGGGCTGGCTTTGAACTGTGATCCTCAGATCTCAGCCTCCTGAGTAGCTAGGACTATAAGCATGAATCATCAGTGCCTGGCTGCATTTTTAAAAATAAACTTTTTTGAGCTTTTACTGTATGGCAGTATATAAATGCATCAAGAAGCATACATTCTTGCAATAGGAACAGTATGGAGACAACTAATTGTCATGAACTAGAAAATAAAAAAATCTGTGGTAGTATAAAGGAGTGATGGATTAAACACTTTTCAGGGTTAGCCTTCTAACTTTAGGTCTGTATTTCTAACTGCTTCCTGGAATGTTCACAAAGCAGTCTGTGAGTTTGTCATTAGTATGTTCAAAACTGAAGTAGTAATTTTCTTAGTAAGATTTGCTTTTTTTCTCTGGAATTTGGGATAAACAGCGCCAACAGTCTCTCCATAGCAGCGCTAGACTGGGGCATCATTGTGTGTATGATGCAGTACCATTGGCTGTTGTTTAGTATTATGAAGTTATGAGCTGTGAAAAACTGTGTTTCCTGTTTATCCCTATCTAGCTTTAAACTCTAGTGTGTACATATCGGAATTACTAGTAGATGGCTTTTAAACTGACATAGGCTTCTTTCAAATGGTTTCCATACTCCATCTTAGTTTTTCTGGAAACTGAAACTGAAAGTAAGAGGTACAGATATGATTCCAAAGATGTTTCAGTAATACCAATAATGCCAAAGTGCTTGCAGAATTGACTGTGTACTAGGTGACTGATCATTTCATTGTAGATGAAGAATTGAGACTCCAAGATTGACTAACTTGTTAAGACATTACCGCTAGTCAATGGCAGACCCCATGCTCTAGACACACATGAAACTAAATTGCTGTCATTTTTAGTTTGATTTATATAATTCAGTTTATAAACTTTTACCAGTTCATATGTGACTAATACACTGTAATGAATTATGTGAAAGGTAAATAATTGTTGAGTTAATAACTTGTTTATTAGCAGTGAGAACTGATATTTTATGAGTGTTAGATTAAGTTGTCATTTTCATGTTATCTTAACATTTATTCCAATTTTCTTTATTGAATTGCCAAATATGTCTCAGCAAGGGCATATCAATAACTAAAGGAAAGTATAATTTTTTTCACAAAAGTTACATACTTATATTTCTTATTAGATATTATATTTGTGATATTTCATAATTTTAGACATAAGTGTAGCCATAATGTTTACATTTATACTTTAGATATTATTAAATATTGGGTATTATTAAATAATACCTTATTTCTGGTATTTAAATTTCCTGTTATTTAAATATGTGTTACAAACTTAGACTTTTTGTGAAATACATATGCTTGGGATATTTTAAGGTATACTATATAAGTATACTGATGGGAACCTTTTCAAATTAATTAGGTCAGTTTCTATCCGGAAGGCAAGAATTTATATAAAAACAGATTGAAAACATAAAAGCATTGTATAATGAAAGTTTTGATCACATATATTTTTTCTTTCAGAAATGAAATAGGAAATGCTTTAAGTTTCTAGATCAAATTGAATTATCTGAAAAGTATGTCATTTTATAAGTGTAACAATAAAAATTAGATTTTGTGTTTAAATATCAATATCAGTTCTCTCATGAGAAGAAAATAACTGATATTTTCATTTTAGTATACAGTATAATTATTTGGAAGAAAAACATCTTGCTCAGTCTTAGAAATGGAATGCTTGAAATTAAGGATGATGAAGTCATTTGAGTAATTTTGTGATGATAATCCTTAGTTATAGGGGAAAGTACGTAAAAATTCACAGATCCATTCTTTTAAAATTACAGTGTAGTTTGGAGAATGGGCTTCTATGCTCATGACTAATGTGATGGCAGAACCTAGTTCTACTTGATGTGCAGATTTTAAAACATCCTTTACTGATCCTTCCTGTGGGTAATCATGAGATACACTTTTCCTGTATGCTTTCCTAGCTCTGTAGCAGACTGTTCTATGTACTATGTTAAATTTCCACAGTCTGAGAACTTAGGAATTCTGCAACATGTTTCAGATACAGAATTGTGGACCTGCATCTACCTCACAGGGACAATATGAATATTAAATCAGATTGATTAAAGCACACAGTATAATTCCTGAAATATAATACGTACTGTGCTGTTTTGTTATACCATCAGCATATTAATTAGGAAGTTTGTAAAACATGTAGGAGGAAATATTTGCAATTTTGTGGGAAGAAGTTTATAGAGAAAAATGAATTTTCTTGTGTTGCAACATGCTGTCCAGTACAGCTGTCTATACTGAGGGAAATGTCTATTGAGGT